GACAAACACACTAATTTCAAAGTGTATTTTTCTGTCATTGTCTCTTCCACATGTTGTGTTGAAGAGATTAAGAGAAAACTATATCCGGCATAAAGGAAAGCATGTGAGAATAAGCAGGCAGTCTTCAACAACAATAATAAGAGGTTTTGTTGTGAAATGTTAATTAGTTTCAAAACGACTGTTAAATCGGAATAAAACAGACGTTGTTCTCCAATGTGAATGCACAGGTTCAAGGAAATTCTGTAATGAAATACAAAAATGATAGAAAAACTCAGCAGGTCTGGCAGCATCTATGTAGACATAAAACAGTGTTAGCGTTGAGTCTGATGTAACTCTTCTTCAGAAATTCTTCAGCTGTGGGTGAAAAGTGGAAGTTCTCTGAATTAATTTCCCATTTCCCTTTCATTCCTCTCATGACCAGGCAGAACTTCCCTGCCATCGCTCCACTGGAGAACAGTTGCTGCAGAACGCTGTAAGTTTTAAGGATAAGGTGTCTCGCAGCCTATTTAAGGTGGCAGATACGTTGGCATCCAGACTCTGCAAGTGGTGAAGCAGTGGATGAAAAGAACAGCACATCCACGGGGGTGTCGCTGAAAGAAAGTGTAGCTTTTTCCTATGTGGACTCCAATCTTCTACTTGGTTCTCTTCCAACTCCAAAGACCTTTGAATTGCCTGTTTGGAGCTCCCCTTTAAATACTGGAGTTGAGATTGCAGTACGAGGGTCTATGTTGTATCCACTGTCGCTGACGAAACAGAAAATCCAGAAGTAAAATCAAATAAATATAATGGGCTGAATGGCCTCTTTCTAGATCATAAATTTCTATGATTCAATGAGTGGGTTGGCTGACCAAAAAGCCACTATTTGGCATGCTTCACCTAATCCTGGGTTTCACTCACACTATTGGATCCAAAGGCCCTGTTTCCTATGCACCTCAGAATTAGACCAGGGCTAAATGTCATCAATATTCAAACAAAACTTATAAGATGTGAGCATGTGAGTAAATCTAAGACAAGTTACAACTCAACACTGTACAGCTGGTGTCTATATTGCTGTATTTTAGAAATTTTATAAAGACAGGTAGATCTAAAGTTTCATTTTGTAAAGACAGGTAGAGAGAGCAGTAGGTAAAGCACACAGTATACTCAGCTTTATTAATAGGGGCATAGAGTACAAAAGCAGGGAGTTGATACTGAGCTTGCGTAAAAGTTAAGAGTAACTCATCTCCTGACTCCCCAAAGCCAGTCCACTGTCTGCAAGGCACAAGTCAGGACTGTGACTCCCCACTTGCCTGAATGTGTGCAGCTCCAACAACACTCAAGATGCTTGACACCATCAAGGAAAAGGCAACCCAGTTGACGGGGTCCACCTCCCCAGGTATCCATTCCCTCCACCGTCAACGTTCTGTAGCAGCAGTGAATACTTTATACAAGATGTACTGCAGAAATTCACCAAAGATCCTTAGACAATACCCTCCCAACCCAAAGCCATTTCCATCTAGAAGGACAGGGGCAGCAGATACATGGAAACCCCACCGTTATCAAAATCCCCCTCCAAGCTTTTCACCATCCTGACTTGGAAACTTATAGCCGTTCTTTAATTGTCGCTGGGTCAAAATCCTGGAATTCCTTCCCTAAGGCACTTTGGGTCAACTCACAGCACATGGATTGCACAGGTTCTCAAGGGCAACTACAGACAGGCAATTAATGCTTATACCCTGAATAAATTTTAAAAAACACATTAGACCTCAGCTGGAGTATTTTGTACAGTTCTGGGTGCCACAATATACAAATGATGTGAACACATTGAAAAACGTGCAAAAGTAATTTATGAGAATGGTTACAGAGATGAGGAACTTCAGTTATGAGGATGGATTGAGAAAGCTGTCACTGTTCTCATTAGGGAAAAGACTAAGAGGAGATCAGATACAGGTTTTCAAAATCATGAGATGGCTGGATAGAGTAGATAGGGACAATCTGTTCCCACTCATAAAAGGAACAAGAGAAAGATGGTATAGATTTAAAGTGCTCTGCAAAAGTAGCAAATTTGAAGTGAGGAAAAACTTTTTCACTGAGCAAATTGTTTGGATATGGAATGTACTGCCTGGAAGTGTGATGGAGGCAGGTTCAACTGCAACATTCAAGTTGGGCATGGGATGGTTATTTGGATAAAAAATAATGTGAAAGGGTCTGGGGAGAAAGCAGGAGATTGACACTTGGTAAAGATGCTCATTTAATAAGCCAGTGCAGGGCTGAATGGCCTCCTTCTGTGTCGAACACTTTGTGATTCTGTGATTCATTGTTTAATTTGTAAATAAACCATCAAAACTGTAGCCAAGTTGGACTGGCACACAATGTTTTGCATTCAAATTGCAAGATATACTAGAAACGTTATGCAAATTACAATTTGCCATTAGTGCAAAATCGGATGATTATCAACCCTATATTTCACAATGCATCATTTACAAGAGGTGTAATTCACCCCTCTGACACAACCAACAAAAGTAGTTTAAAAGCCCAACATTCTGCACCTGCATACTGCAAGTCACTCACTAGGAGATACATGACAGCAGTTTGAGATAACCTTCTCTATATGCAGTTGGGTAGGGACAGGGGTGGACTGGGTTAGGATATTGATTTGATTTTATTTATTATTCTCGTATTTACCTAGGTATGGTGTTTGTCTGCAGAACAGGCAGATCATACCATACAAAGTGCATTAGGGCGGCAGAACAGAGCAACGAATACAATGTTATGGCTGTAGAGAAGGTGCACACAGAACAAGAGCAACATTAAATTTAAAATTTGAGAGGTCCATTCAGAAGTCTAATAACAGCCAGGAAGAAGCTGTTCTTGAATCTGTTTTGTATGTGTATACAAACTTTTATATCTTCTCCTGACAGAAGAGAGTGGAAGAGATTATAACTGGGATGGGGAAGGTTGGGGGTGATGGGTCTTTGATTATGTTGGTTGTTTTCCCGAGGCAGCAGGAAGTATAGGTGGTGTCAACAGAAGGAAGGCTGGTTTGCCTGATGGACAGGGCTGTGTTCACGACCCTCTGTAGTTTCTTGTGGTCTTGGGAAGAGCTTATAGAGTCACAGAGATTTACAGCACAGAAATGGACCCTTCAGACCAACTCGTCCATGCTGACCAGATATCCTAAATAAATTTAGTCCCCTTTGCCAGCATTTGGCCCCTATTCCTCTAAACCCTTCCTGTCCCTATACCCATCCAGATGCCTTTTAGATGTTGTAATTGTACCAGCCTCTTCCACTTCCTCAGGCAACTCAGTCCTTACACGCACCACCCTCTGCGTGAAAAGGATGCCCCTCGGGTCCCTTTTAAATCTTTCCCCTCTCACTTTAAACCGAGTTTTAAGTCTAGTTTTAGACTCCCCTACCCTGGAAAGTTCCAAACCACACTTCGATGCATCCAGATCGAATGCTTTCCATGGTGTATCTATAAAAATTGTAACAGTCCTTCAGGACATGCTGAATTTCCTTAGCCTCCTGAGGAAGTAGAGACATTATTATGCTTTCTTGACCATTGCATCGACATGAGTGGACCAGGACAGATGGTTAGTGATCATCACTCCCAGGAACTTGACGCTGTTGACCATCTCCACCTCAGCACCATTAATGCAAACAGGGATCTCACTGATTGATGCATTTGGCTTGGGACGGCTGAATAGCCTACTTCTGTTCCTATGACCCAGTTCGTGCCACTTTAAGTTCAAGGGGTGTGCTGGAAACAATCCAAACCCTTGCTGAGCAGATGGTTTCATCCACCCTCATAGTAAGCTTTCGTATTTATCCATCTTTGAGCTCCCTCTAACGCCACTCACCACTCCCTCAGTAAGTCAACTGAACATGTCTAAGGTTGTTCTTAAAGCTGATATTCTGAGTTTCTGCCCCCTGTTAGTATACAACTTGTTGAGCTCCCATTGGTAACAGATGGAAGAGTGAATGGAAGTGAAAGTGAGCAAACATATTCACTGCAGAATGCAACATACCATAAATTAAAAAAGGTACTGCTTCCCAGAGCAGTAACTCCAGAGCTTTCTGGAGGCTTGAAAAGGCAGCTCATCCCTCATGGCCAAACCATTTACTTTTTCAGTTTTATGCACGTAACAACACATCAGCCAGTCTGGTTTCAGAGCCGAAGTACGAAAACTAACTATAAAAGCTATCAGCTCTTCTCACTCCTCACTTGTAATCAAGTCAGGCAAAGGCTCAATAAGCACTGTTGCCAGAAGACTGATCTGGGTCTTCTCAATCTAATTTAGGTCGGGAGATTTAAATTACAGATTTCAACTGTCAACACGAGAGACTTGTAAAATCAATCTGTATTGGTCATCGCGTGGGGAAGAAAGAAAGAGAAAAGCACTTTCTAAAATGTCTGATTCCAAGAGAGGATGAATGGGTTTCGAATATCCATGCAGTTCTGAGTTCCTACCACAAGAGGGTAACCTCAGCCTCAAACACTGCACTGCAGACACCTATTAGCAGCGAGGGGTATTTGATAAACTATGTCCTAAGGGAAAGTGTCAATCGTCCAGATGCACAACTGCAAAAGAACTCTTGGAGGAATGAGAAAATAATCTAAGAGATGCACCGGATTGAAACTCTTATACAATTAAAAGACTAAATGAAACCTGATGTTGCAGCAGATTGGGGCTGAAATTTAACACAGCCAGAGACAGCATCTTAAGTCAAGACTTTGAGCTGTGTTTCATCTCAGCCTGAAACATAGAATGAGTTCTCAATCCTTCAGTACAATTACTGCATTCCAAAAGTGATGTTAAAGACATTGTGTAAAGCAATAACCATCACAATTCTGGCTTTAAGATCAGGCCTGACAATTTCCAACAGGCTTTTAGTGAGGGAGGAGAATACAAGATTTCTAGCTAATGACAAAACTGGTCAGGGATCTCTCGCTCCTGCCCAGAGATGACAGTGATAATGAACCACACTGTAGATTACTGCTACCCAGTCACAGCAGTGACACAAAATTTCTTTTGTACGAACAGGCTCTGGATTTCAAGATAATTGTGAGGTACTTTGAGATGCTACAGAAATGTTAAAAGGTGCTAATATGAAAGAAAGTGCATCTTGTCTTTCATTAGGTACATTCATCACCAACACTTTCAAATTCAAATCAACTAATGTTGGTGTCCCCTTAGTCAATTTCAGTCACTTCTTAACTACTTAGAATTACCAGAGGACTCAAACATAATTGAAATAAAGATGAATCGCGATTTGAAGTTCTTGTATTCTCATTTACTTGTGACATTCAAGTAAACAAGGTGAAAAGCTCAGCTATTGTAAACATGCCACATTTACAGTACAAGAAGGGTGTGCAATGAGATATTTCCATAAGTTATGAAGATACCAAGTGGAAAAAGAGGCACTCCCTTAAAAAATACTAGGGAAATCTTTGAAGCAGTTCTGAAGAAGGGTCAATGGACCTGAAATGTTGACTCTGCTACCTCTCCACTGATGCTGCCAGATCAGCTGTGATTCTCCAGCAATTTTCTGATTTTGTCTCTGAAATGGTGTTGGGCTCATACAAAGGAAGACTCATGAGGAACATGGCAGCCATTCCAAGAACTGGTCCTTATATTCTTGAGTCTAAAAGCCCATTGCAAACTTCAGCGAATGATTCACTACTTCACTGGGGCTATGCTGCTACAGAAGTATAATAATTAGTGAAAATATGTTATGTAGAGATATCAGGTTCATTGACAGATCTCGAGCCACTAAGAGGAAGGATGAAGCATTACACTTGTTTGTAAAAGTTACAATTCAGAGTGTGCTGTCAGTGCTGAAACCGACTAAAAATACCATATGTGAAATTATTCTGCATAGTGGATAAATTGCAATGGCAGGATATCTAAATGGTAAATCAAAACTCCTTCCCAGAAGTACAGCTTCATTACAATTGTGGATGCAGTTGTCTATGAAATATTGCAATTTTCAACAGTTCACTCAAACTAACATTGCAAGAGATTTACTGCAGCTAAATGATCATTGAAACATCTTTAAGCTAAAATACACATGGAATAAGAGAGAAAATGTGTTGATTCAGTGTGAAGCACAACTCTGTTCACCCCAACTGACAATCACTCCTGCCTTCCACCTATAACCATGTCCCATGAGAACAGGAGCAGGCCTTTCAGCCCTTCAAGCCTACCAACCATTCCCTGCAATCATTGCTGACTTACCCCAATCTTCAACTTCTTCCTACCAGCTCCTTAGAGCACTCAACTCCTCAATATTTCAAAAAATCTCTCTACCATCTCTTTAAATACTTTCAGTCTTTCTCATTTGTTCTGCTCCAAACTTTCCAAGACAAGAGGTCATCAACAAGAAACATTAACTGTTTTCTCTCTGCAGATTATACAACACTTCTTGCTTTTATTAATTTTTTTTAGAACCACCATGGATGAGAACAAGTTGCAACTTAAATGTAATTTTTATAAGCAGGATTAATGGGATGTCAGTATTGCCTGCAAGGTTAGCATTTGCTGTCCGTCCAGAACCATCCTTGAATTGAATGACTTGCTGGGTGTTTCAAAGGAGTTAAGAGTCAAACAGATAAGACTCCCTTTCCTGAAGGACATGAGTGAACCAAATAGACTTTTTACAACAATCGATGATAATTGTCCATGATCACCTTTACTGAGACCAGCTCTCAATGCCAGACCTTTTAGTTATTGAATTTAGTTGCACCAGCTGCCACAACGGTATATAAAATCAGATCCCAGTGCATTAGCCAGGGCTTCTGAATAACTGACTGAATAAAATTTGTTGCAGGCAGTTCAGCCTTCAATAGAAATCTACAGTCTGATCGTCACAGATTCCAATTTGGTTCTTCTGTGATTCCCAAACTGTTACCTTCAATTTCCTAACTGCACCATTCCCAGTATTAATGGTGCCTTACGTGAAGAAGTGCTTCCTAGTAATAGTCCAAATTTACCCTTTACACACTTGGCTTGCAGCATTTTATTTTTTGGTTGCTCCATTGCTGAGGAGTAACATGTATTACTGCACATATTACTCCATCATAGAATCCCTCTTTAGTCACCTCATTTCAGTATTGGCTGCACCACTGACAGCCAGAGCTTTGATGTTTCCTTTATACATGTTGACCAGAATTGAATGTGAAACTGCCTGTCCAAAACATCTTGTGGCTTTGCCAATAAAATCATTAGACCTACACAACATTGATTGTTTTCAGGGAAGGGCAGGGAGGCTGAGAATGAGGGAATATGAACAGAATAGGAGTGTCCATTTGTATGCTTGCAGTATTAATAATATTGTTCTGAAAAAGAATTTTATGCTAACTCAAGAGGAAAGAACTGCCTAGTGGATGGAACAGAACAGTAGGATAAGCCGAAATGTCCTCAACTGCGTATCGTATACATTCATCAAGCCCTGGGTGGGTCTCTTTGAGGGTAAATCTCCCCCAATTGATTCATGTGCTGTGTCATGCTCCTGGAAACTCTCAGTCTACCTAGTCATCCATCCAGTCACTCCAAAGATAGTACTAAGTGTGCACAGATACAGTACTTCAAATCATGGACACACCAAAACTCACAGGTCATGATGTTATAGGAACAGAATACACAACAGATGCATACAATTTATATGAACAGTCAGAAAATATAACAGTCAGAGATAAAATAAATAACAATTGATTAAGAGCACATGTAGAGCAGACACAAGCAGGGCTTTTAATTTAGAAGTTAAATGTATCATAAATATTCAGTTCTACCCCACTCTGGGATAGAATTGGACAGTTAGACATATAGGTGCCACGAACCTGCTCCACATATCCTGCTTGAATGTCCTCTTCATGCCTTGCAATGGTGACATTAAAACTTCCTAAGAGGTTTCAGGTTCCTGAATCTGTACTCTTAAATGAATTAAACCCAAGCACAATTAGCCTGAAATGTGCAACAGTCTCTCATTTAAATGTGATTTTTCAATTGGTCACTGGGAAGAATTAAGCGTGTGCAAAGATCTCCAGGATTCTTCCCAATATCTCTTCCCTAAAAGCTGTCACATTGTGCTCAGGTAATCATTAGTACAGATTTCAAAGAATAAGCCATGAGCTGTTCTGGAAAACCTGTCCTCCTGGCTTGATATTTGTATGATTTTGCACTGTAAATGTCAAATTTGCTGAAAGCTTTCACTGTTGTTCATGTTTCAAATGTCATCACCAAACACCTTTTTTTCCAGCCTGCACAAAGTGGCGAATTACATATAAACGGTTACAACATGAACTTCAAACAGTACATTACTTAAATTCAGATATCCACCTGCAACTCGATACTCATTAGATGATATGCTAGTCAGATCAACATGCTTGGTGTTGCAGTGATGTTGGTCAGTCTCACAGTATCAGGGTTCAGACTAACATATGTCTGGCACACAGTGATAAGGATGCAGCATCGGTGAAAGGACCTGAAAACAAACCTTATGCTACAACAACAGAGTGGGCTGAGCTGCCTATTTGTGGATGGCCTCACCCTTTCCAAAAGTCAAGAAAACTATCTTACCTTTGACCACTTTGGGTTCAGGAGTCGTGCTTTAACTGCATCGTCCAGGGCCTTCTCATACTCATTCAGTTTCACCAGAACAGCTGATCGGTTGCTGTACAGGATACAGTTCTGAGGATCAGCTGCTATAGCTTCTGTGTAGAGCTGGACGCCAGTGGTGAAATCTCCACTCTGACATGCTGCATTACTTTCTCGGACTTTCTCAATGAAAGCTGCTTTGCTCAGCGTGTGCACGCTGCTGCTGCCAGAAATTCTGCGCATTAAACTTTCTTCAAAGACGGAACTCTGCAGTGAAACAAAACAAAACGTTTTATTTTTAAAAGTAGTTCCATTCGTTTGCTGGAGTGTCAGCACTTGCTGGAGTACAGACCCACAGTCACGCTCTAAACCCATGTGCCAGTGGCCACATGTGAACACAGGCAGGGAGTATTGGGGTATCTACCTTACTATCACCCAGAGCCCACAAGTATATTTTCTCGCAGAGGTTACGCTGATCAAAGCCCACAAGCCCCGGTTGATCTTTTTAATTGATAACCCTCTTACAAAGTGCATTTGGGATATTTTCAATGACGAAGGTGCTAAATAAATGAAACTTGCCAATCTTTCCCAAGTCCACAACAATGGCTAATAGTGACAAGCTGAGATCAGCCAATCTACCAGATGCCAGAAATTGAACTGGAAATATTCCCAGCTCAGTCAGGTCACTCTCAAACCTGGTCATAGCTTTATCAATTGAGCTACTAGGGTGACATTCCAAAAAAAAACACACAGGCGACACACAGGTCCACACATGCACACAGCCTCTCAGCTGACATTTTCTTTAAGTTACCTTTCACCTACGTCAACAAGGCAAAGTTAATAACGCCTTTAAAAGTAAGCTAAAATATACATTTCATACTAGCGAAACAAAAGGAAATGTGGAATTATAAATGTAAATGTGCCATTTTCAGTCTCACGTTCCAGTTTTATAGTAACAAAAAATTCCAATTGCCTAGAATTTAAACTTGTTCACCTCAAAAAGTATCTTGTGTAATCATCTAATGCTTCCATATTGCGGTTACTGACCGTGTATGGGTTAGCTTTGATGATTATTCAGTGAATTATGAAACTTTAAAGCCTTTCATTGAGTTGAGCAAAATTAAGAAGCCATGTGAAGACTGAGAATCAATAATAACTTGAGGTTTACTAGATCTCAAGAAACCTACCTTATGTTGCCAGTTAAAATACCTTCAGCTCTTCCAAGATCTTTCTCTTACACCTTTGGCTTTAAAAGCAAAGCTGTAGAAAAATTCAAAATTCTGGAAACGCAGCAAGCTAAATCATCAGAAATCCAGGATTTTCCTCAAACTCCAGGTGAAAATAAACAAAAGGTTTTCATCACAAATGTCCCCTTCAGGGCACTTTTGTTGCACTACTCTCACATTCAAGATGAACAGCGACAATATTGGAATGCTGTGTATCCCAACAGCTTAAGCTATAATATGCTGGGTACACCCTCAGTACGGCTTCTTGTTCACTCACATCATGGATCTCTGTTTCAGATCTATACCTGAGTGACCAGTGTTCAGGTCTGCTTTATTTGGGTTGTTAGTTTGGTAAGAATGGCTAACTTCCACCAATACGGAGCTTACCATTTGATTTAAGTTTTGCAACATAGTTTCTTTTTCTCCTCTTCTCAATCACTCCTATCTTGCTTCATACATACTGTTGAGAGTTCTGGTGACCTTCTTCTGGCCAACTACCCTGTCACTAACTACACAGAGGTGTGTAAACATGGTCTGAGTCACCTATTCACACCAATTTTGCATCTGGACTTCAGCTCCACATAGACCATCTCAACATCCACGATCCATTCTCATAAAAAAAGGTGGCACATGAACCAACATCTTGCAAAGCACAATAGGAGACTGTACACCTCTTCCCATAGCCCTAGCCTATTCTGCCATTGTTAAATAAGCAGCTGTGTGTTTACTTCAGACATAGACATGGTGACACAGATCTTTAGAAGAAAGAAGCTGGCACAAGATTACAATCTACAGGCTATTTTCAGAAATCAAATTTAATTTTTGGTTTACCCTACAACCATAAAATCAGAATCTCTAAAACAGTCCATACCAACAACTCAGTCCTGGAAAGTACTTTCGGCCAGACATAGATAAATTATTCCCCTCGTTAACTTAAAAGGTGTGTAGCATTTACACAGTGTGATTGGTAATGCTATAGCAACCAAACGTCTACACCGTAGCAACTAAGGCACGCTCCCAGCAATACCAGGTGGTCCCACTTTGAGCTGAGACAGAGAACATGCTGGTGTGCTGAAAATCATTAACCTTTCCCCTCTTCAGATGTAGCCGATTTCTTTGCTTTGATGTCCTCTGTTCTCACCCTCCCACTTGAGACGATCAGGAGGACAATTGACAGTAATTGCACAGAATTATTTCGTTTTTGCCCTGAACTCTTCGCCACAAAACTGCGTAAATGCACAGGTCGACAAAGCAGCATGCTTCAAAACATTTTTTTAGAAGCATGTAAGTAAATAGAACAGTATGCTGAAACACTTCAAAGCACTTCATCCAATTACTGTACTTCTGAAATGCAGAGGTTTTTGAGATGATAAAAACAATCTGCATAATATGCAAGCAGCATCTTTGAGAGCAAATGATTAGTCACATTTTACAATCATCTATTTAATAACAGGTAATCCAGCTTTTATTTACATGTAATACGGTTGTGGTGTCTACATATGGATATGTTGGATTGAGGATTTATTATACATAAGGCAAAGGCACTAAAATGTTTATCTTAAATTTTCCAGTTTGATTTTGCTTTTAGAAATCACTGCATCCCATTAAATTCAGGTCAATTTTAAATAAAATTTTAAGTAAAACTGGCTTTAATATTCTTCCCTGTTTTTTTTTGTTTCAACATGTTCTCAAACATATTCTCAGCAAATTAATAAGTTGGGAATGTCAATGGCTTCTAAACAAATCAACACCACTGGTGGGGGCGTGGGGAGAATTCAGGAGGCTAGGTGAGGGTAGATTGCAACCCCACCCCCCTCACTTGAGAAGTGTTTCAACCTGACATCAACCCACAAATGATATTAACCCTGGAGGACCGATAGTCATTCTGTTAAATCCAGAGAATGTTAAGAGTGAATTTCATGGAGCTGTTTACTTTAGACATAATAAGTAAAGAGAAACTGTTTCCAATTGCTGAAGGGTCAATAACCAGCAAACACAGCTTTAAAGGTGACTGGCAAAAGTCCAAAGGTTGACAAAAAGACATTTTAACACAATGAATGGCTAAGGTCTGAAAATACACTGCTTGGTATGGCTAGTGTTGAAGGTGCAGAGGGAGATATGCAAGAATATACACATGAAGATTGCTTACATATTGGGAAATGAAGCTGGGGTAAAACATAAAAGGAAGGAGAAAGGTTTTTATATCAACTTGTTGAGAATGTCACTGGAATCTAGCAGGCGTGATAAATTTTTGAGAAACTTTATGATGAGGGCAGTGAGCAGGATAAAATTGAAATAGTTAATCCATTTGACAACGTATCTGTGCAGTCTATCCATTTGGAAGTATCTTCCTTAAATGTTTCTCACACTCCCACTAATAATGACAGAGCTTCCTCACAGTGGGAACACATAGCAACTCAAAAAGTAGTCTTACTCATGCATCGCTTCATACACAGGATTATGTGGCATATGTCAAAAACTTGATCAGACAGTGTCTGGTTGCACTGTAGTTAGAGAATGCTATAAACAATGATACTCTCCTGTTTCATGTAAATACAAATGATGTGGGTTTCTCATGAAGTTGGGTTCTATTCTTGTCTAATCTCACTGATTAAACACTCTAGAATATTTACACAAAGTATTGTGTGGGACACAAACGGTAAAGATCAAATATCATGTTACCACATAACATCATCATAACTCCTTGAATCTAATGCTGAAAGTCACTGGTGAAACCGGATGAAGTTTCTAGAAAACTGAGTTTCGTGAATAAAAATTGTTCAAATTTACAGTGAGTTGCAGGGAACCCAGTGTAAACTGATCCTCAAGTCACTCCGATCTTCGCCCAGAAGATGGGAGTCAATATAAAATTAAAATCTTTTAATCTGGTTTAATGAAAAAAGTTCACAAATCAAAGTAGGTGAATTTAAATAAATAATTTTAAATTGTCACCAGACTTAATATTTTAGCTATTAGTTAACATTTGTAATTTTTCTTTCTTTTTCTTCAAAATACACTTAGCAGGTGACCTGCATCTGTTAACCATCAAGAGAGGGATGACAGCTGAATCAGCTATTTCCTGCAGCGTGGGATAAGAGGGCACTGGAATATATGGAAACAGAGAGGGTCCGTATGTTCACTCCTACTGTCCAACCACAAAATCAAAATCAGAATTGTAAGTTGTGAAAGTAAAGTCATAAAAATTCAATCCCGCAATGCAATTGCATCCCAGGGCTCATGGACACAACATCGTCACAACGATGGGGGCCATCCTCATCCATTTCCCCACTATGATGCAGAGCCTGAACTCTCCTGTTAAGTGGAACCCCCATAGTTTTCCACAGTAGGCCTGTAAATGTACACAAAGGCTTGTGCCTTGAGTCTTACCACACATTATAAAGTATCAAGGTAGACAAATTAAAAGAAAGACAAGTCTTTTTCCTGTTGATCTTTGGACATTCAATCTTGATTTCTCCACAGGATCAAGTGCCATGCAGTAATTAAGTTCCCGTCAGCAAAAACATCAATCGACAACTGTCCTTGGCTAAATTCAGGACATACAGGAACAGGCTAATTTAAATCTCTCTCTATTTTTGCAGCTGAACATCACAACCAAATGCAACCAGTTCCTGAGCAACTCTGCAGGAGATCTATTTGCTTCATAAATAATAGTAAGTAAGAACATAGACGGAGTGACTAAAATCACGACAATGCTAATTATCAGGATTCGAAACGCTACACACAATAAAATCCTGCTGTCTGCAAATTTAAAGATTTTTCCAATGCTGAGTCACAATAGATCAATATACCAGCATCCATCTCTAGAATCATTTCCACGAACAGTAAACAAAACTCTACAGCAAAATCGATAACTTGGAGATGAAGCAACAAACCTTCCAAATAGAGTCAAAAACAAAGTTGCTGGAAAAGCTCAGCAGGTCCGGCAGCATCCGCGAACGATAAAACAGTGTTAATGTTTTAGGTCAGGTCATCCTTCCTCAGAACTTCCTCACACCCTTCTGAGGAAGGGTCACTGGACCT